CAATGATGCATTATTAATGACAGCAGCCTTTCAGCTTTCAAGGATACCTGTAGAACCTGCCCATCCGAACTGAAACTCTCACCTCGCTAAGACCTTTGGTAAATGCAAGGGGCTACAATAGTATTCCCAAAATAGCCTCTGAAAAAGCAGCCTTTTGATGACATTCATTTTGGGACAAGATTTAAAATACAGACCCCAAAAGTAAAGCCTTTAAATTAATCATTCTGTGAACCATATGCTGAGATTTTGACCCACTTCAATGCAATAGACCAGTGATTCTCAACCCATGGGTCTCGACCCAAATTGTGAGTTCTGAAGGGGTCATGAGGCAGAGTTGGAAATGTAAGCATTTTAAAACCAACAAGCTCCTATGCTGATCCACGATCAGATTTCCCAGCCCTAATGCTAGAATTAACCTATATACACGGTTCTTGGGTCTGCAAATGCTTAGCACAAAATTAGTGAACACTCAACCAATCCAAGAAGCCAAACCACAGATGCTTAATTTAAAATTCACTATCACATCTAATCAGATTTGTGTGATTTGCATTGCCTGGCATAAACTGCAGAGTGCACTGTGTGCTTGATCATAGCGTTAATTTAAACCAATACTTGATATAGGGTTGCGACTGAGCTGGCAGGGTAAATATGAGTTGCGGTGCAAAAAAGGTTGAGAACCACTACAATGGACTATAGAATGTGGCATGACACTGATTTAGCTTAGCCTACCAAAGTCTGGGTATGTAGACAAACGCTGACCAGTAGGGTTTCCTGTTTATCTATAAAACATAATGTTATATTTTATTAGTGAACAAAGAGCATCTGTGTAAATGCAGATATTTGAGTGAGAGAACCTGATACGCTCAGTGACACTACAGGTCCTGCCTTTGCTTTTCGCCATTTCATTTGTTGTGCAGAATATGTGATATACATGCTACACCAAAATAAGGGGGGAAGACGCGTTTATAATAATAAGCATGTTAGACCAGTTTAACTAGTACGGTAAGTTATATGGAATGATCCACACCACAGGGATTACAGAGGGATGTTTCAAGCTCATTTAACAGCTAAAATTTGTTCCAAATCATCAACATAGGGTCATAGGTGGGTGAGGCATCTTGGCAAGGGTGAGGAAAGTTCCTCCACAGACGGTCAAGGTGCCAGCAGGTTTCTAGGTTATCTTTCTGTTAACGGCTCGTTTACACCTGGAGCACCAGGCGAACTTAGAACCCGGTCTAAAATAGCCCCAACTAAAGCAGTTAAGAGCAGAGGTGGAGCAAAAATCAGTGCAGCCTGATAGTGATGTTCTCCTGGGGCTCAAGCCAGTAACCTCAAGGTCGCGAGTCCTTATTGTTTACCACTATGCTTCCAACTAACATTAAACTACTGCACTTCAAATACTTCCATCCATTGTTAGTAATTTGTGACAGTACAGTGGGGGGAGAGGATCGAGCTGCCCAAATATTGCTTTAGAAGACTGATACGTTCATGGGTTTTCCTGGGATGTTGTCGTGGTGATCCCAAGAACCAGGGAAGACTTCAAAGGTGAAATGCTGCTCGACTGAATCTCAGAACAGGCACCTTTCCTGTCATCTTCTCCACTGGCAGCTGTGCTCTCTCTGTGCAGGAAAGGTAGGACTGCAGCACCTGGGTACAGATATAAACACCTTGGGGCGCAAGGAGACAAAATGTAGCATTGAATCAGCAAGGAGCGAAACACCTGCCTCTTCAATGAACTTAGGTGGAAAACTTCATAAGGCCAATTTATTATGTGCTATAGAATACATTTCTTTTGGACAATGTTTCTTTTACTCACGTAACATTTACTAAAAATACCCTCAATATTCTTTGCTAACAAACAAATTTGCAGTATGTTCACCATTTGAGTACCTTTATTAGCAAAGAAAAGTCATACCTTTGATTCATCAAAGTAACCATCTCTAGCAGTTATAACAGCAAAGAAAATTTGAGGCATTCTTTCTACAAGAGACATTAAACTCTGCCCTGTTTCATGGAATGAAAGTTAACTTGTGCACATAAAGTTAAAGGACAGCCTAGAATTTGACAATGTCATCACCACGCAACCACATAATAGGATGTCAGACATGCACTGTTACATACATCTTTCCATGTTATAAAGGAAACTTGTTTTATTTGACTTATATTTTCATTTATAGTTGTTCACTCAACTTTCCAGTGCTTAAGAATTAAAAATCGGCAGTTGATGAATTAAATGGAAAAGTGCTAAAAACCTGTGGTGTGCAAAAACTTTTGACTGGTAACGTATATCTTCTTGATCTTTCAGTTCTCTATACAGGAAACTTGTGCTTGGAAAGTGGGACAGTCATCAAAGAAATTGATTTTTTTCTAGTGTGTGCTGAAGAAAGGCAGAACAATGAGTGATGGGTCATTTACGGCACTTTTCCACTAGCATGCAAGAACCAAGCTGACACGACCTGCGAAGACAGATTAGTTCACTTGCCAGGTTTGGAGAGCGACAGTAACATATAACCGAAGAGACACTTATTTACTGCTCACATGGTGGCCACCATGACTTACTGTGTGCTAATTTCCGCTAGCAAGTCTGTCAGAATCACCGTGTTTTATTAGGATCAAACTCTAGCAGAACTGGCATTCTCTTGTGTAAATTTGCATTACACATCCATTCCATTCAGCTGTTCTATATTACTTTTTAAGTAGGTGGTTGGAAATGTTCAAGTTCCAAGTTATGGGGAATGCATCAATACATCACGATGTGCGATACTGAATATCGACACAGATCATTGGTATCTCCTTGCATTCTGACCAGATGGTGGGTCAGTATTTTTGTTTTTTAAAAGGGCATTCTCCTTATTTTATTTAGTTTTTGTTAAATTAAATCTTTTGTTTGTCTAGACCCAGCTGTCCTGTGCATTTTTCCTGACCCGTGGCAGCCCTCCACACACTACCCAAAATAAAAATAATTACTCTTTTCCCAACAGCTGTAATTCATCAAGTAATTCAGGCCATTCCTACCTTATCTAGGAAGGTAGCTTAGAAGGCAGTTTAGAAAAATAATAATTTGTCTGGCCCTTATAGACTATAGGTCATGCTGCCCCAACCCCCCCCCCCCCCCCATTCAACCAAGTAAACCAACTTCCTTTCATTCTAACAACTTAAGCTGTTCTGTTAACCTGCTATAAGACCCCCTCCCCCCCCCCCACCCCCCCCCCCGCCCCAAAAAGGCAACACTCGACTGGACTAGAACCACTGGCCTTATGTAAGCTTTCTCCAAGGACTGTTATCTCAATATAAATCTAGAACATTCCAAATAGCATGTGGCTAAGACGAAGGAAAAAACATGATGCCATTAGGATAAAAGTACAAGATTTACGGCACCATCTTTGTTTCTTTTCCAGAGTTGCAGCTAAACCTGTTGTCAAGCTCTGTTGCCCAGGGCAACAAGCGCTCGCTGCTCTTCCTGCGCGCTGGAGAAGGTGTCACACTCCTGTCATGCGTCCGCCGACGAAACCCCGGTGGGGAGACGCACTCCTGTCAGGCAGGTCTCGGGCACTTGAGGAGGAGCGGGGGGCTTGCCGTGGGGACCTCCGACTCGGGGCTGAACCTGGCAGCACCACCACCCCCTTCCCCCCCACTTTTCCTGGAAGCAGCCCAAACGGCAGCTAATGATGCGCAGAGGGAGCAGGTTTCTCACAGCCAGTGCCAGCGACGGCTGTCAGAAAGCGTGACGCCCCAGGAGTGGGGGGGGGGGGGCTTCCGACAGCAGCCGGGAGTGGGGGTCCGGCTGCCCTCTGACGCTGCCGCAAAGCTTTCCTGCTATATACGCCTTACAAAGTGCTCTAGCACATAAAAGTTAACTTTCCCTTCTGGTGTCTCCCAGCACCTGAATCCAGGTGCATAATGCTGACACATAGAATCTTAAAAGGTTTGGAAATATGCCAGTTATCTAAAGTCCAGTGGGGTCGTGTTCCCCCTGTTAAATTCCACAGACAAAGGCCGTTCATTGTCTTTTTAAAAACCATTTCTTTTCCTGTAAGTTTAAAGCAGCAGTGACCTATGTCTGGGCATAATCAGAAATCAAAGATTACAGCTATTGAAGATTTTCATTTGGTGTCATGAAGCCCTTTGCCTGTCTGTGGTAATAATAGACTGTAAGCACTGGTTTTACAAAAGATTTCCCTTTTAATAAGCCATCCATCTTCCAACCAATTACATTTTAATTATGACTTCTCAAAATGTTATGTCAATAAAATATGTGTAAAATATCACTATATATTTCTTGGAATGCATCAAAAGTTTATTGTGCATATTAGGGTGGACAATTATTGTTTTATCTGTTATTATTAACATTTTGACTAAGATCCATAGACCAGATTATATAAACAATGCTGATGGAACCACCAGAGAAGCTTAAGACAGACGCTTGCCTGGGATGGGAAAGGTGAGCCCATGGTGGGTGGGGCTACTCTGCACTGTCAATCACTGATTGAATTTGCTTCCCATTGGGCACCTTGTTTGTCCCTTTTGACTAAGTCCAGGCCGTTAGCCTCCCTGCGCGGTAAAGCGGCATAATTTTTCCACGCATCAGCACTTCCGGCCCGCAGTGAGTGGCGCTAACCAGTGGGACCGGTTCGGCCCGGCGAAACGCAGACATGCTGGAGAAACGCTCTGGAGAGCGCCTGAAACGCGAAGTCTGCAATGCTCCCCGTAATTAATTTGGTGAAATCGTTAAGACTTATTAGCATAATTATTCCCAAAAGACCTGTCGTTCACTGTAATTAAAAACGTAGCATTATCAGTTACTGAACGAGTGACAGATAAAAATTATACAATTATACCTGATCTTCACTCTGTTGGTGCTGCCCAGATGTAGTGAGAGTGTAATTCGAACATCCATTCATCCATTCTCAGTAACTCTTCAGTCCAAGTATGTATTAGGCTCCATCTGGTAACTGATAAATGATTTTTGAAATAATATGAAAATTTAAATTTTGCACATGGCTTTTAAAAAGGTACAATTTATTATCAGGTTGACATCTAGACACAAACACATTAAATAAGATGATAATTCTAGATACGCAAAAATGGACGGAAGCCCATTTCTTAAGCGTTCGAATATATTTGGATGCAGTTATTAAATATACACACTAGCTATTCAAAATCCTAATAATTAATTTAGGCATAAAATTATATTTAGACATATAAAAACTATCGATAAAAGTGCTTGGTCAAAAGGTGAAAAACATATACGCATATTAGAAGCTTTCTACTGATAATTTGCGCGATTTCTTAATCGTTATTAATTAGGGCGGTATATGTTTGTGCATTTTCCCCTCCGCGTTCACTTCTCCATATGACTGGTTTATTCATTTTTAAATCTTTTAAAGTTGAACGGTTTTACAAAAGTTATAGAAAACTGAATTAAGAGAGCCGTGCAGCCGCCTTTATAGTATAAAAATGATAGTGTGTTATTACATTACACCACTAGATGGCAATCCTCTGCCAGTATGATTCGGTAGCATTTCATTTCTGGGCTTGCCGAAATATCATTTTAAAAACGCATCAATGTGATTTTTTTTATTATTGGACTATTATTTCAAACCGAATATTAATCACCAAGATGACAAGTTACCAAAACCAATGCTCTACCCTCAGGAAAAACGTTGAGCAGCATCCAGGCCAAAACAACAACACTTACAGTTCTCCCTGTGCTCTGAGGCTGTTGAACTCTGACTCTTCCTGAATAACGATGTGCCATATGACATAAGACCTATTGCTGCCTTCAAATACCTGTGCACATTGTATTACAATCTTGCACACACATAACGCTAATTGCCAATTGCACTGTCTACTCACTGCTGCAATATTCATGGATCCATATTGTGCACTATGTACATCTTACTGTTCGCTTTGTACATTTTTTGCTTCCTTTTATTTATTTATTGTTTTATTACTTGCAGTTGAACCCTATACCCCCATCTGTACCAGACGTCCAGAGAATGTCAAAAACATCCAGAGTCTGCAGTTGCTTTATCACAGTGCTTGTTTTCATGGGTTATCAGAAAATGATCAGTGGGATCCACTTACAGTTGGACCCGAATCATAAAAACAATATATTTTACATTTTACTCAATTGCATTCTTCTATCTTGCTCTATGATGTCTCCCAGTCCAGAGCTTTCACGAATTCCTCTTCAGTAAAGGATAGCATCTTTGCAGCTTCAAAGTGCATCTGTGAAAACGTTTCATCACACAGACTGTTAAAAGGGGTGCAGTGCATTTGAGGCCCAGAGTGCTGTTTAAACACTGAGCCAGGATCTCACCTTTTGTCTTTTTAATATGTCTATCAGTCTGAGCTGTTTCTTAAAGCCCGCTATAAGTTCTGCTTTCTGTTTTTCTAATTTCTTGTTCTCGGCCTGAAGGACTTCCATTTTCTGATGCTCCTGGCTGGCAGAATCCTTTCAGAAAAAAGAGATGATGTTACAGCCTCTATCCAGGCAACAGGAATAGCAAATGGTGTTTCAAAATTATGATCAAAAGCTTGAGAATATGCAGTTGCATGAAACATGCAAAAAACTCTGCACTTTTCCTTCCTTATCAGGTTTAATGGGTTTTAATTTTATTTCACACAGGCTGTCTTGGTAACCTTTCACTTATTTTTGAGATAATCTGGCACCAACAAACTATTTTTACTACTAAAGTCATACATAATATTTCAACATTGACACTGGGACTTCAATCAATGCCTGATTCAAGAGCATGCCTTCAACTGCCCAATGACCCTATTCCCAGACTGGTTTTTAAATTAAACTAGTTTTCTCCTGTTCCAGTCGGTCCCAAAGGCTTTGTGTAATATAACATTTTTGATTGCATGGCAGTAATTGAGGACGTGCCTGCATGCGCCTGGCACACCCAGCCAGCCCGCTGCCCCTCACCTTGCCACTCTGCTTTATCTTACACAGCTGTACCCTGCATCTCTCCACTTCCTCCAGGGCCCGGTTCAGCCTGACCTCCGTGGCGCTGTGTGTGCTTGCTGCCTGTTTCTGTGCTCTTCTCAAACTCTCTATTTCCTAAGCATCAATATAAGTCATGTGAAAGAAGACACCCCTTTGCAATATTTCTCTTTGAAAGGGGGAAAACACAGCATTTCAGTTTAAGAACTTCTGCTTTAAGTGCCCCCCCATGAATCCTCTGAATCAGAGGATGCGCATTTATATAGTTGATCAGCTGACGCCATCATTCAAAGTGACTTACAGTTGTTATACAGCGGTATTTAAGTCGGCATTAGTTGGTAGTTGGACATGTTCCTTCCTGAACAACACTTAACTCTGAGCCCTTCCCAGCAACCAGCACCAGCACCTGTGTTATGAGTCTGTGTCCCAAAACACTGCACTGCTTGCTGTCCGTTTAAACTACAGACATGTATATGTGGTAGATGATCTTCTGTAGAAGAAAAATCATTCAAAACATTTTTGACTTCCCAAAAGCATGGTAAGCTTCAATGTAACTGGTGCGGTAAAAATTCCAAGAGCCCTAAAATATGGAGAGAGAATAACTGGGTTTTTATGAATCTTTGTCACACAGTTGTTGCTTTCAGCTGAAGTGATTTATGATTCCCAGCTTTTATCCAGCTGTATATCATCATTGATGTAATTCAGGTAAAGTGCCATGAAAATGCTACAGCAGAGCAGCCCCTGAGACTCAATCCAGCAGCTTTTGGGTTCCAAGCCCAGTGCCTGAACCATTAAAATATCTGCTTTCTCAATGATAGTGTCAGCATTCTTTCACCGTAAAGAACGAGAGGTGATGAATGCCCGTTTAGAATAATTTTGTCGAGCTGGAAACCATAATACAACACTTTCTTCTTGCTGGGATTAGATTTCAGAAGCAGATCCTGAGTTTATCTGCAACATTTTTTGTCCACAGTTGCTGGAACAAAGGCCACTGTGTTTTGTATCCCCCCTGGGAAATGTTATTTCACTCTGACCTCGGATGTCTTAATGTACCCTCAGCTGACCCTCAGTGGTGGGCGGTCGATACATTGGGGAAAGGGGTGCTGGGATTTTCTTGTTTCCGGAAGTCATCTGTGACGCAAGTTACATGCCATCGCCACCTGCGGCCGGGATACTGTTACACGGGTGGGCTTTCATGTTGCCCTTTGTCAGCAATCTCGTCGGAAGCAAAGAGCTTCCTTCTCTAAGAGCAGGGCCTTCACAGACAACACCAGGTCACAGGCAAAACAACAGACTGAAACCCAAGTTTGCCTATCTTCTCCCTACGTTTGGTCATGCTACTGAAATGTTTGTGTTGACCCCAAATGGACATTTGGCTTTTAAAAGGTTCATATAATATCTAGAGTGAAAAAGCACCCTTTAAAAAGCACCCTTTAAAAAGCACCCTTTAAAAAGCACCCTTTAAAAAGTTTTTTGTGCAAAAATGCTGAAGTATGTATGAAATGGTAAAGGCCTGTTGCTGCATTTTACTGTCACACACCCACCTTCTTTAGGGTCTCCACTTGTTGCTGCAGCCCCTCACTCTTCCTACTGGAGTCTTCCGCTAATGCCTTGTGCTTCTCCATCTGCGCTTGTTGGACACTGGTCATCCTCTGCAGCCTGCTACGCTCTGCCTCGGACTCCTTCTTTTTGGCCGTCAAGCTGCAGATTTCATCATCCTCCGAGCAACAAGTAGAAAAAGACACACTGCTACTAGCCGGAAGCGGCTGGCCTCCTCTTCCTGTGCCACAGTGCTGGCCTTACCTTTATGTTGCACTCATGACACAACCTGTTCACTTCTTCCTGCGTCACCCGAAGTTTGGCCTTAAGATATCGAATCTGTGCCTCTGGAAATAAAGAAAATTTGCAGATAAACATTCAAAATCCTCATGGAATTTGCAACAAAACATTTTAACCACTGTTTGATTGAAACTAGAAACAGTAATTAACAGCAAGTGCAAGGAGGCACCTGTTGTATTTTTGAGAGTAAAAGTGACTTTGAAATAAGTCATTAATGAAATTTTATTGTCATTTAAAAACACATTTTTCCCTTCTTTGAAAAATTTCATTATTGTAATATAATAAAATGTGTGTGTGTGTGTGGGTGTGTGCATGCACACACCCACACTCACAGGTTTGTAATTATATCTTTGTGAGGACTCTCCATTCATTTATATGGGCATAACCCCAAGCCCAACAATAACAACCTTAACCCTAACTAGCCCTAAGCTTAACCATAAGTAACCAAGCAAAATACAAGACTTATGGCATTATCAATTGTTTGATTGCAGTCACAGATTTTAATAAAACTTTATTTCCCCTTGTGAGGCCAGGAAAAATGTCCCCAAAAGGTCAAAATAACAGGGTTTATCATATTGTGGGGGGCATTTGGTCGCAACAATGTAATGTATACATGCCCAACCCCCACACACACATACACAACTAATTTTGGCAACATATCCACATATATAAGCCATGATGAAAGATTGGAAATAGACCCACCAGATCCCATTTCTTCCCCAACACTGGGCATCACATCACCCATTACATCTTCTGGTGTTGCACCTTCCTCCAGTTTGCCCTTGATGCTGCTTATGGTCTTTGCCAGGGAGAAGTCCACAAAGTCTTCAACTATTGCGACATCATCTGCTGCAGAGGCTGCCAATGCTCTGTAAGAAGACAGAACAACACACTACACACACACAAACTTAAAGCCTATAGCTACTGGAACTTCTATCAATGACATCATGTCTACAGTTGTCTATATATTTATCAGAACTTGGAAGTTCATAAAAAGTCCATAAAAGTGTTATTACCCAGTATATTTCCAGAGTGAATATTTAATTGAACTTATAAAATTCTGTTTGCAGAGAAAAGTGCATAGATGCTTATGCAATAAAAAAGCCTTGTCATTTATTTTATATGCTGCATATTAGTATTTAAGTACAATGTGAATAAGCAATTTATAAAATCTGCTGTTAGACCTGGTTTACTCTAAAGTGTGTGGATATCAGTCTTGTTCATAACATTTGACAAAGAAATATCAAAATCATTTGACTTTCACCTATATCCGCTTTATATCGCATAAAATGTATACATATCTTTAAACCATTCATATTAGCTGAAAATGAATTCACGGTTGAGTGCTTTGTCCAAAAAACAAAGTTCATTGTCAGTTTGATATCCATTATAGAAGGACGACATAAGACACAGAACACCAGGAACTGCCTTAATGAGAATAGTGGAAATTTGGTGAAATGTTAAATAGTCCTATCATATGTTAGCATTCTACTAAAACCAATATTACGCAACTTGTACATGCTAAAAACACTGAAAACTTACTTTGACTTAATCTGCTGTCCTGATGGAGGTCTGCTTTGTACAGAAGCTTTTTTTGAAATATTCTTCCTTTTGTTCACTGCCTTTTATCAACAGAAAAAGCCGGTTTCAGCTTGGCCTATTTAAACACCATTTCCTGAAGCATCCAGCATCAGTCTTATAAAATAAACACAGACTTGTCAGGAATACAGTGGTACCTCGGTTCTCGAACTCACTAGAACTAGAATTTCTTGAAAGTCGAACAAACCAGTTTGACCTAGAACTCGATCTGAATATTAGAAGTCGAACCGTGAACACTGATCTAAAATAAATTGTACGCGCCAGGAAATGAGTCATACTACAATGCAATTCTTACTTGAATGCCTTCTTCACAGACTGGACGATTAACCAAATAAAGCAGCGCAACATTACAGTAACTAACAATAAATAAACCACTAACTTACATGTACTATTAGAGCATTTATGTCATTTATTTAAACTTTATTTTACCAGGTAAATTAACTGAAAAACAGTTCTCACTGCTTTACGTGATATTTGGGAGAAATAGCAGATTACGCATCGGAACTGCCTGGGATACAAACGTCATGCGTGTAACTAAACTCTTCAGCCAATAAGGGCAAAGGTGTGTCGTCACGGAGGCGGTTCCAGTTTGTGCAGCTGGGTCAGAGGTCGCAATGCATCTAACCGTAATGCATTGCATCAAGATCAGAATGCGTTGCTTTAAGCCAGCGCTGTAAGCAAGTTGAACGTACCCAATGACCGGACTGGGGAAACAAATTGAAACGCGGACTTAATACAGAGGACTAATGACAACAACCAGAAACAGCTGATCACATGGGGATCCCACACGAGGTCAACGAGGGGGCGTGACACACGGAAGGAGCGGACGATCGGGACAGGACAGGGGTAATGTTGGGATAAGATCTTTATCGTTTTCTAAGCCATTAAGAAAAAAATGCTCTTCTTGTTTTATCCTGTTCATTTTGTGTTTAAATGCTAAAAAAAAAAAAAAAAACATATTTAGGTGTAATTTTGGGGGTCCAGGAACCAATTAATTGGTTCTCCATTATTTCTTATGGGAAAATTTTGATCAGAACTCGAACTTTTTAGGATTCGATCCGGAGTCCGAAACGGATTAAGTTCGAGAACCGAGGTACCACTGTACTTAACATTGGTGTGGTGCCAGGCATCATTACATGAATTATACATTTGCTAAATGAATAGTTGTTTAATCTCAGTGTTACACTCTTATTTTGAAGCTAAAGGAAACACTACATGATGGTGGCATACCTTTAGAGATGACTGCTTGTCAGTAGGTGATGTGAGACTGAGGTTCCTGACATAAGTAGACAAACAAATAGCATGTTAAACAGTTAAACTAAATAATATTTATTTTTATATTGTTCTACAATAAATCGACTATGTGTATCACGGTAATCCATGACTGCCTCTTTAATGTCTTCTAACCCCTTACCCTGGTCAGGGTTGTGGGAGGGCCAGGAGCCACAGAGCTGAAGTATGCCCTGGATGGGATGCCAATCCATTGCAGGGCACACACACACACACACACACACACACAAAATCATACTCTATGGGAAACTTTACAACACCAGTTTGTCTAACTGCATGAATTTAGTACTGTGGGAGGAAACCCTCATGACAGAGGAGAACATGCAAACTCTGCAGTCAGAGTGGGGAGATTCGGACCTTTGTGAGGTAACAGTGCCATCCACTTCTCTAATTTGCATAGATAATTAATTAAGTATCACTGTCCATATGATAGTGCTTATATAAGACTTTTCCTTACAGCAAATGAAAGGCCATGCTGATTACCTGTAATACTTCTCATCATCCTCAATGTCTAAGTCGATGCCAATGTGAGAAGGAATTGGCTTTGCCAAGACTTCATTTTGTTCTCTCTAAAAAAAATAATAAAAAAACTAAAAACAGATACGATTTTTCAAATGCGAGGAGAGACACTAACCAGTTCAATTTAAGATGAATTAGTCAGATGAAGTCGCTTCTGTTGTACCTTTGTTCTTAAACATGGGGTTTGCAACATTATAATATTACTATGTGAATCTGAAATGGCAAAAAATCTATCCTACCATAAGTTCTTCTGCCTGCTGAACAAGTTCAGCAGCTTTCGCTTCCAGCTCTGCATTCAAACGCCTAGAAAAAACATAATTCTGAAAGAGCATTCTTAAGTAGTGTACATATGTGTATGCTAAAAACAATAATGTCAACTGTTTATAATCTAAGCAATCTCAGGAAATCTTAGGACTTAGGGAAATGACTGTTGGCTTTTAACCTCTTGAAACAAAGAGACAAGTATTCTTACTTGTATTCTTCCTCCTTGAGTAGCAGGTCTGTCTGAGGTGCTTTGAGCTGAGGGACAGTGGAAGGCCTATTAAAAGGTCTGCCACCTTGAGACTTAGTAGTCCTTGACGATGAAGCTCTCCTTAGCTGACGGAACATCGGTCATAATTATATAATCGGACAGTATGGAAAACTGAGCTAGCAAGTTACGGCAAATTGAGGCCCTGACAGTGAAATCTGTTGTGAAAAAAAACAACTAAATTATTAATGAACTTTAAAATCTAAAGTTCGTTTAGTAACATGAGCCCTAAAAAATGTGGAACATAATTGGATTGGTCTGGGCACGGGCACAATATGATATGCTTTCACTGGGTTCAAAATCTCTAGCAGCACCCATGTCTATAATACAGTACCTGCATACATCTCGGTCTTTACACTATCTTTAGATATGAAGCAGTTTTTGAGATAAATACGAGGACATTATTTTAGTAAAATGCTAAGCATAATTGCCCCTAAGGTAAAATACTTCGGGATAATTGCTGAAGAGGTGCTTTCTTTGATTGTGGTTTATTTGGTAGTTACGGCAGTAGAACATTGGTGTTTAATAATTGTCAATTCTGCTACAGTACTCAGAGAAATCCGGTAGATAGGGAAAAACTAACTAAAAAGTACAAGGTCACCGAACAAAGTTAGAAAATCATGATCTCATACACAATTATTTTAAAAACAAATTCTTTTTATAAAGTGTAAACTTATATCACAGTGAAACGATGGAGATGTTACTCAGTCACAGCTGCGAGAAAGAGAAACGAACAAGCACCAAATGAAGAAGTCGGTCGGTATAGTATATACAACATATGTTTTAAAAAATAACCGATGCATCTGCAGACTCTTCACGTACGGAAATGGGAAGGTGTTCGGACTTTTAAAAACGCCCTACCTCCTGAGAGGAAGAAGTTCTCCTCGCTTCGGCCATCTTTCCTGCTGCGCTGAAGTAGGCGTCCCTGTCGCCTAGCAACAATGTACCGCGGTCAGTCCGGCTTCGCGACATGGCGATGTACCGATTTAAAGGTTAAAGTATTTTATTTACATCGCATTCATTAACGTTACAAAATGCGTCTAGGTGGCTTCCAATGACATTCATTATATTTTACATGTTTGTGTGGTATATTTTGGTCCATTACTTGCGTAGACGTATTATTGGGGCACAGGTAGTCTTTTCTCGAAAATGGCATGTTTTCAAGTTGAGTCTGAGGACCACTTTTATCTTACACGTAGTGGAAACAGTGCCGTGCCGTAAAGACAAATAGACTGGAATTTCGTTCTTTCTTAACGTCGCCTTCGTGACGAATTTCAGATTTTATACACGATCACCACCACCACAATTTATTATTGATTTTCTTCCTTATGCGAATAACGACGGCATTGGTGATCGCCAGAGTGTATCGATACGCCTTAAGCAACCTGTCATTGAGGCCAACTCCCCTCTCCCCCGGCTCGCTGGTGCAGTGCTGGGACATTGAGCCTCTTTGTAACGTCGCCCTCCCCGTCCGCCTCCCTGTGCGCGCAGTGCGCATGCGCCACCACTGCCTGGCAGCAGTCGCACCGACAGCGGTCGCAGGCGTGCACGTCGTGTCTCCTGGCTGCAGCAGAATCGGATCGACGCGTGTTTTCCCTCCCCCTCCCCTCCCGTTTTTATTTATTTATTAATGTTTTACATACGTGCGGCGCGCTTGTGTGTTTGCAGTCTAGCTATGGCTTCCTGCCGTTTCATGTAGGTGGATTCCGAGGTTAAAGCAAAGGCGCTCGGCGGTCGGGCTGGGTTAGTGATGAACCATAGCCGGAGAAGGACTGTTTTCTCTAGGTCCAGGTCGAGGCCTACTTGTTAAAGACCACCCCTACCCTTTCCTCCCCTCCTGAATCTCGTCGTGATGGCTGAGAATCAACAACAACCTGGTCAGCACCAAAAGCCTAATTCGGGAATAGGCTCTTTACCAGCCCTCGTTCCGGGACTGCAGGGGACAGAGGCCAGTGTGCTGCAGCACAAAATAAAGAACTCTATCTGGTAAGAGCACAGTAAACACGTCCAGCATGTGCCTTATACCACATTTATTTTTTTGCACGTTCAACGCATATTGAATTCGTGGAGGGAAAAACGATTCTTGCTTTTAGTTGACCACTGGTTTGTTGGTAGGTAGCCGCCTGTATACTTTACAGTTTAATTGCATGGGTGACAGTCGCCGTTGAATTCATGTTTTCCTGCACCGAATTTTGAGAGAACCAGATATCGTGGTTATTTTGCTATTTCCACTGCTCGTCTCTTTTTAAATTCTCGACTAGATAGCCGATCTGAGTTCATTTACAAGATCAACAGTTCAGAATTGTAGTTAGATGTTTATGAGCTAATGACAGCGGATGCATTTTGGCTTTAACGGTTCGTGAATCGGGTCATTACTGTAAGTTGGTGACTAGCAAGACTTAAAATTCAAGGCACTTAATGCGATGGTGCGCATTTAAGCGAGAGTGAATCTGGTCATTCATGAAAGGCGAGCGTGGACATCGTGGCTAAACATCACGCTGTCATCGTCGAGGGTGGCACACCGGTGCTGTGTAATGGAAACAGACGTCCGCTAATGTAATGCAGACAGATTGTGCTTGAATCGCTCTACTGCGAATGTGTATTAATCGATAGCACAGGGCATAGATTTGTTGCATCGAAACCGGTTGCATTTGGGTGACACGTTACGTTTGGTGATGTTGCTATATTGCAGTAAGACTAATATTGCATTGCAACATGACTGTGGGAAAGAAACCAAGCGACGGCCGATTATATGTATTCACTGGGGGGAAATAATTGAATTGGGATTGCCTAGCTGAACGGGATGCGACGAACAGGTACCATCTGCAAGTGTATGTCTGCCGGTAATGCTGGCTGGTGGTGGATTCATCGGTATTCCGGTGGTGGAAACGCTGACTCGATTTTTTTAACCCCCTCCCGACTCATCCACCCCACCCTGTTTTTTGCGTGCTGTTCATACAGAAACGAGAAGCCAACCATGTACCTATAGGTCAAATTAACGGACAGTGCCGGTGGTGATTGCAACGATTTTTTTTTTTGACGGTATATTTTGTGAATAAATATAAAACACGCACATTTATTGTATTCGCACTGACATTCCTCTTAAAAAAACACAGCAGATGATTAATGAGGACAGCCTTTTATTTTTTTGCAGTGTTTCCGACGGCTTAAGGCAGCCGTGAATAGCGGCATCGCCTGCATGTTACTTACGTGGGAAGTAGCGTGTCTGCTGTGTGCAGCCGCAGCCCCATGTGACCATAGCGTAAAAATGCTCGTCACATGCATTGTTCTGTTAAAAAAGGTTTTTAAATCAACGTTGGCATATTTTTACGATTCTTCTCCCTATATCACCTCGGGGATGTATGTTTCTCAGTATATGCCGCTTAAATTCTTTTTAAAAGCTCAGTAATGTCAAGTGGATGTTGGATCTTGTTTTTCAGGATTGCATGGCGGCAGACTGAAATTTAAGATCTAAGCATGTTTTTTTGATTGTATATATATTACACAGTCTTAGGTTGGTCAGCAGTTATAGAACACCAGCATTATAATTAGTCTCTGTCATTAGGCACACATCTGTATTTCTCTTGGATTGGGTCTTATACCTGTTGGTGTAAAACCTTAGAAGATTGTCATATTCTTACAGAATGTATTTTAGGAAAGTAAATTAATTTCTCATATTCCCCTGCTCCAAAGATGGGACAGAAGCAGACAGCAGGATCTCAGTGATGAAACATTATTTGAAAAAAAGAAAAGAAAAATTAAAAAGGAAAGAAAATGTATAACAGTGAAAATACACTAACGGGAATGAAATATGTACAGCTAACACTGCTCGTATACTATCCATGAACACAGTAGCTCATGAGAGCATCCGTCATACCGCACCCAACTGACCCTATTAAAACCTCAATAAGGCCCTTATGCTGATTAGGGTTAGCTGGGCTCCTTTATGTGTCGAATCAAACACATCCTGCTCAGTTAAACCCAGTACCTTGCTATTGTCCATGTTCTCTTTGGTTTGCATATTATTTATATTAAAATGTAATAATGGTTGGGGGGGGGGGTGCTGCAAAGGTAAGCGCTGTTGCCTCCTACCTCTGGAACCGAACTTTGAGGTTCCGACCTGGGTCTGCGTCTGTGGAGTTTGCACGTTCTCCCTGTGTTGCCATGGGGTTTCCTGCAGGTTCTCCGGTTTCTCCCTACAGTCCAAAAACATGCTGAGCTGCATTGGAGTAGCCAAATTGCCCTTAGGTGTGAATGTGTGTGTGAATGGTATAGAGGATGGATGGATAGATGGATGGATGGATGGATGGGTGTAATAATGGTTTAGTCTTCCCATATACTGCACAATTATCTTTCATCAGTGCTTATCCAGCAGAAGGTTGTGGTTTGCCTGGGGTCTGTCCCTGGGCACACACCCACGTACTGTGGGCAGGCTAGAGACATCAGTTTGCTTAGCCATGTGTTTTTGGACTGTAGGAAGGAACTCTGTGCACAAGCAGAATATACAGACATCATGTATACAGAGCCTGGGCTGGGAACCAAACCCCCAACTTTGGAGATGTGGGGGGCTCAAGTGATAACTACTACACCCCCCTACATATATGATACTGCTCATTTAACGTGGCTTAAACTATTTACAAAAATATTTGCATGCAATATATACAAACTTATTAGTGCCAAATAAGACATAAACATGTGTTTCATTCCACTCAACAAACTTATACTAGAGATCTGGAGACACTGTGGCCACCCACCAATAATCGTTTTATGGCTTTGAAGTTGATCGAAGATTGATACGTGTTGCCTTAATGCTAATGCATAGTGCTTGTCTATATGGAAAAATGCTGTGTTTTGGGATTTGAATTGGCCTTTTAGGATGGTAACGTATCATTCTAGAGTGGGAGACCGAAATCGATGGCACTCCAGGTAAGTGTGTTTGACATTATTATGGATTTACAGAAACCACATTCCGAGGGTTTTAGGTGCTCTCATGTTTTCATCAAGCGATGAACGGATTGATGATAATATCAAATTTTACACGCATATGTGTTTCTTCACTGTATTTTACGTATACGTTTGAAAAGGCTTTGGTAACAAGGCACTGGCCAGTTTTTTGATCTATAAGTAGTATTTTAGAAATAATTTCAGACAATTTATTGTTTATCATACATTTGAAATATAATTTGTTGAAGTTAAACCTTTAAAGTATGTTTTGCTCTTGATAGTAGCTTTCCTACCTCATGTGAAACATGCAGTATTAATAGGCTCAAATTGCGCATGAATAATCAGCCACATCAGGTCAAATTCCTGAATTCAGGTCTTATGCATTTAACAGCATGGAACGGGAATCCGTAGATTTCATGCTCCCAGCTAACTTTGCATATCTGTTAGAGTTTCACTGCATTTCTGTAAGGCCTGAATTTTGGTAAACAAATCAGACTTTTTGAAGGCTGACACTTATTCGTATTTTCTATGATTTGGCATATTAAACCATTGGGTTTGTATAACTGCTCCTGTTCTTATTGTAAAATAGTTTTTTTTCCTGTTTTATAAAAACTACTGAAGTTCATTTGGTATTTAATATTAAATGCTTCATATAGAGGATTCACTTCTGCTTGCCTCAGCAGACTCCTGGCCTGCCTGGGATATACAGCCCGCCTTACCACAGAGGCATGATACCTATTATCAACAACTTCTGCAGCACTTTGACATCTTTGAATGTATTTTTTTTTCCTTAAGCCCCAATTCCTTTGTGTTAACCTATGTATTATTCCACTAAACTTTCCATTGGCAGCTGCCTTAATGCATTGCCTAACTGCCTTACATGTTGTATTTGTGTCTGTTTATATACTTTAGGTAATCAGTTTTAAATAACTGAAATTCGGTTTCCATTAAAGAATATGACAGGACTAATGTGGCTAGACTGGCCATTTCTGCCTGCTCTGACGGGCACGGTAAGGCTGCTTGCTGGTTTGTGACCATTCGGGGATTCCTCACTGAGGCACCCACCATATTTTGGTGTGACAGAAAACAACTCATCAGCTGTCTTGCCAGTAAAGCCCTTGCGAAGGTTCGGATGAGCAACCGGCGTATCGAGATTGTGATTCACTTCAGATAGTCAGCAGCTTTTATTAAGCCGCAAGTGTGTGTTGATCTTTCCATTCAAAACAGTTGTTGACTCATCTCACATTTCATTTATATTGGCCACTGTCAGATTTTCAGATTTTTTCTGTCCTGGTATAACTTTCACTCCATGAATCATCCCAGGCTCTTTTTATGGACCCCCTGGGGGGGTGAGGGGCCTTCAGGAATATGTTTAGGTTTTGGATGTCTTTGGTCATGTAAGTGGATTATATTTAGTTGAGATTTAAAGGGCACACGCCGAGTTTCCTGAGAAATTAAACCCTGGGAACTGATTTTGTTGCTTATAGCAAGCATACACTAATCAGATATGTGTAACTTTTAAATGTACCTTTGTTTTGTGTAATGCTTGTTCCTTTATAGCACTATATAGTTTCATTCTGATATATCAGATGGGTAATGCTAGGGATCATCAGCCTGTCAATGCATTTTTAAATACCATGTCTGAGGTAAAAATTGCATTTTAATCAAAATGTCCGTCAGAATTAGCCATGGTGTGACCCCTGGGTAATACTAGTAAATTAGACCACACCCTTCCAGAACTATCAGTGCATCTTCTTTTTCTGCAGTTTGAAGTTTTACTATGCTACATCTACAACAGTGTTTCCCTGCCCGGTCTTCAAGGACCGGCAGTCAGTCCTCATTTTACTGGGAGCTTGGATGGAGCAAAAACGTGGACCGTCTGTGGATCTCCGGGGACCGGCTTGGGAGACACTGTACTACTACAAAGATGTTTCCCTGATACTTTAAAAAATGTTTTACGTGAATTAATTTTGATCTAAGTCTCCCATGTTAGATCCTGCAGTTCCCATTAGACCAGGGGTGGGGAACCTGTTCCATGGAGG